AATAGTTCGAATATTGACCAAGGGTCTTCTTTGTCGGTGCTGTCGACGATTCCGAGAAGATCTTCATTGATGATCGACCTGATCAGTCGAGCGATCGAATCTTGTTTATCGAGGAGACGATCGGTGAAGTTGGCTTGGAGGCTAGTGAACTTCTTGATTTGGAAAATTTGACGTAGGGTACGGTTGAGTTCTTTCTCCCAGATCTGGAAGTTGGAACCGTCGTAGGTGAGTCTTGTTTTCGCCGGGTTCGCCGCATGATGTATGCCGATTGGGTCCTTGTTGAAGTTGCGGATGACAATTTCCGACCAAGAGAGAGCGGACGACGTACCTCCTGGATTTCCGGACTGGGGCAGCAGAAGTTTGATTCTCTCCAACTCTGATTTGAGGAGCAGATAATCTTGGGCAGTTGGTGTGTCACCCATGTCGATATCTTCGAGCGATTGCAGTATTTTTTTGTTGTTTTCTCTTTCTAATAATTTTTTATTTATTTCTTTTTCGTGTTTTAATCTTTCTTCTTCTATTTCTTTTGATATATTCTCTGTTTTTATTCTTTCTAATTCTTCTTCTTTTTCTCTTTTTGCTTTTGATTCTTGTTCTGCTTTATCTCTTATCGCTTGAAAATCTGCACTCCTGCTACTTCCAGCTCCAGTCATCCAGTCGAGTACGTCTTCCTACTCCCGAGATTTGAATCCTGAGGTGCGTGTTTAAGAGCCGGGTTTTAACCTGTAGAGATCAGAAATGATCAATGTGATCTGACGATAAGAATCACGTCACGGTCAGCTCGGCACGGCAGGGTATCGGTCTCCAACTCGGTAAGGTAAATTGCTACTAACCTGACGATAAGAATCACGGCACGGCAGGGTATCGGTCTCCAACTCGGTAAGGAAGAAGGAGGCCGGTACGCTGCCGAACAAGTTAGACTAAGTACAAGGTCTGCGCAGCACAACTAGGTTTCATGTGATGACATATAAGATTGGCGCTGCTAAACTACTGTAACTATGTTTAACTGATGCTGTAAGTTTACAACTGTATCTCCCTAACTCTAACACAAGTTGACCTTGGGTTCCCACGAGTTCTCCTCTGGTCCAAAGCCTTTCCAGCTGACCAAGTATTTGACCTTCTTCCCTCTTCTCCGACAGTCCAGTACGCCTTCCACTTCCCACTCCTCCTCATTGTTGACCTGTACTGGTTCTGGTGATGGATGGCGCCTTCCAGTGATGGTGTCCGGGTTGTGCTTCCGCAGTACTGAAACATGAAACACCGGGTGAACACCCTGCATGGATAATGGTAAAGTCAGCTTGTATGCAGATTGGGATATTTTCTTAGAAATTTGGAATGGTCCAGCTTGGGGCTGGGTCTTGTTGTCGAAATATTCTTGCTGTTCAACCAAACCTCCTCGCCAACGTTCCAAATTGGGGTGTCCTTTACACCTTTGTCGAATTGGGTCTTCATCGATTCTTGAGCTACTTCTAGACATAACTTGAGTTCTGACTGGACTTCATCAATTTGTTTGAGTCGCTCTTCAACGGCCGGTAGACACTGTTCACTTGATGGGATCCCGCCGTATGAAGGATTGAAACCGTAGTTTGCCTTGAACGGTGAGACTCCAATTGAGACGTGATCATTGTTGTTGTACGCAAATTCTGCCGTCGCCAACAGGGGTTCCCAGTTGTCCTGTCTGTACTGAACAAAGTGCCGTAGATACTGCTCCGCCGCCTTATTTGCGATTTCGGATTGTCCGTCAGTTTGAGGGTGGAGCCGAATTCCAAGTTGCTTGTCCAATTCTTGTGTGATCTGAGAGATAAAAACACTTCCTCTGTCCGAGACAATTGTCTTTGGTGTGCCGTGGAGTTTCCAAACCTGCTTCAACATAAGATCTGCAAGCTGTTCAGAGTTCATCGACTTGTTGCAAGGAAGGAAGTGGGCCATTTTAGTCAGTCTGTCAATCACAGTGAGGATACTGTCACAATTGTTGGATAGGGGGAGGTCTGTTATCAAATCATAGCTGATGTCCGTCCACGGGCCTGCAGGGATGGGCAACGGTTCCAACGTCCCAAATGGTTTCTGGGTTGAGGATTTGACCCGAAGGCAAGAGTCGCAGCCATCCACGTAGCGGTTGACAAAGCTTTTCATGGATGGCCACGTGAAGCTGCGGCATATCAGCGAGAGCATTTTTGATCTTCCTGGGTGTCCTGCTAACTTGCTGTCATGGCGGCTCCTCAGAATTTTGGTCTTGAGGTCTTCATTCCGGGGTACTTCAATACGTCCGCTCCTGTAGAGCACTCCGTCCTTCACCGAGTAATGCTTGGTGGCCTCCTTCATTCGACTGGACACTGGGTTCTCACAGGCTGAAATCAATTCGGTCAGTCTGGAATCAGATGGAGTCAGAGATCGGATTTGGCTTATCAGTTTGCTGTCTGTTGGGATATCCTCTGACGGAGTGTTGGGCTCCTCCACACCAAGAATGTCCACTTGGAACCAATGTTCGGCGTCATCCAGATCCACAGACTCGTCTTCAAACCAGCAGTCAAATTCAGCCACTTCAGCAAAAGTGTCGGGGGTGATGTTCTCGGGTCGCAACAGTTGTCCAAAGGTGAGCTTGTCCTCTGTTGAAGACGCCAGGTCGGGTCGTCTGGACAGAGCATCCGGTTTGGACGACTGTTGGCCCGGCCGGAAAAAAATCTCAAAGTCGAAGCATCCCATGGTTTTGGCCCATCTGGCTTGCCTCCTTGTCAGTTGTTTGGTTGTCATGAAGCTTTCAAGGTTCCGGTGGTCGGTGTAGACAATTGCTTGTAGTCGATTTGGGTTGCCCTCTAGATAGTGAGGCCATTCCCTGAAAGATGCTACTATTGCCAGCAATTCCTTGTCAAAAATCTCATAGTTCTTCTCGGATTGGACCAGTGATCGTGATAAATACGCCACCGGGTGAAGTTCTTGATCCTTGTCGCAGATTTGGGATAAGACGGCACCGAGTGCAAAGTCCGAGCAGTCACATTCAAGGACAAAAGGCCTGTACGGGTTGGCTATCTTCAGTACTGGCGCCGTGGTGAACGCGGTTTTCAGAGTTTCAAATGCCTTGTTGCACCGGTCGTCCCAGACGTAGGGAGTTTTGTCCTTGGTCAAGTCGTGGAGAGGTCGGGCTATTCCAGAAAAGTGGTCAATGAATCGCCGGTAGAAGTTTGAGAAGCCAATAAAACGCTGTAGTTCGGTCACATTCTTGGGCGGTGGCCATTCAGATACAGCTTTGACTTTAGTCGGGTCCATCCTCAGCCGGTTACATGATATCAAAAGTCCCAAGTATTCCACTTCTGGTCGAGAGAATTCACATTTTTCCGGTTTCAGCCAAAGTTGATGCTGGCTAAGTGTCTCCAATACTCCCATGACAGCCGCTTGGTGGTCGGTTCCCTTCTGCGTGTAGATCATGATGTCGTCCAGGTAAGCTGCCGTGTCCTTCCCAATCCGTCCCAACAGGATGTCTTGCATGAAATATTGAAAGTAGCCTGGTGCTCCTGTTGGTCCAAATGGCATAGTCAACAGTGCAAATTGTCCTTGTCAACAGACAAAAGCCAGCTTTTCCTCGTCGCCCTCCGCCACACGTAGGTTTCCATAGGCGTTTCTCAGGTCGAGCTTGGAGAAAGTGTCGGCGTCAAGGAGGCTGTCAACCAGGTCCATCTTCAGAGGCAGGGGGTACTTGTTCTTCACTGTAACCGCATTGAGCTTCCGGTAGTCAAAACATGGCCGTAGATTTCCGTCCTTATTCCCGGTGAACAGCACCGGTGCTGCCCAAGGCAAAGTGGTTCGTCTGATGGTGCCGTTCTCCAGTCCTTCAGTGATTAGAGTGTCGAGTGCTTGGTTTTCGGCGGGTGAAAGAGGGATAATCCTGCTTGCCTGGGGGAGGGCTCCTGGCACAAGGTCTACTCAAAAGTTGTAGATCCTTTGAGGCGGTAGCTTCTGGGAACTGGACTTGCGGAATATGTTGATATACTGGTGATAGTGGGTCGGGACTAGTTCTTCTGCCGTCTTCACCGGAGTCTTGGCTTTGCTGTCCGCCACAAGTTGAGCCAATGTTGACCAAGAGGCTTTGGCCGCACTGACATCTGCAGTGGGAACAAGTTCTAGGAGGGGAAGAGGCTTGCCAGCTGTTTCAACAGAAGTTATGGAGGGAGGCGTATCAAACTCACATTGTGGGGGTGTTAACGCGTCAGAAACACACACCCCCTTGCCAAAAATCCTAGCTTGCCTCATGGGCTCCACACCAATAGATGAGACCTTTGTCGGAATTGGCAAAACTGACTTGGCAGTTGCAATGATCCTGTCTTCAGTGGTCGGTGTCCGGCTGGTGGTGCTATGTCCTAGGAAGGGAAGAGGCTTGCCAGCTGTTTCAAGAGTAATTTTGGGGAGAGGGGCTTTATCAAACTCACATTGCAGGGGTGTTAACGTGTCAGAAACACACATGCCCTTGTCAATAATCCTAGCTTGCCTCACGGGCTCCACGCCAAAAGGTGAGGTTTTTTTTGGAATTGACGAAGCTGATTCGACAGCTGCAAATTGGGGTTTCCTGAATTGTTGGGTTGTCCAGTCGATGAGGTGTCCATGCTTACGGATCCAAGGCACTCCAAGGATTCCATTGTAAGAGTCTTTCAGGTGAGTGATGATGATTGGGGAAGGGGATGGGTTGGTGTCAAGAATCAGGTGGATGTCAAAGGAAGAACGGCTTGAGGAACCGTCAAAACCAGAGATGGTACATTGAGAGGGTCTGGCAATATCAAGGAGTCCCGTAGACTTGGCATAAGACTCGCCAATTATGTCGTGGGTTGCTCCAGAGTCAATGAGAAAAGTAGCGGGAGGGAGTGGCAATGGGGTTGTGGCTCAAGGATGTTTGGGTGGCACGATGGGCAAAGAAATAAATAAACGCGGATCAATTTGATTTCTTGAAAAAATTTCACTGGCGCCAATGCTAACTACAAACAATTCTCCACTGCTCAGGATAGGCACATCCTTCATTCCTGAGCACCTCCATTTTTTGACAAGTCCGCCCTACTACCTCCAGCCTTCAACTGCTTGACCTCCTCCTCAAGTTTGGCAATCCGGGACTTCTCCTTCCCTTTCCCCTTCAGGCCACGGTCCGGGCAGTCTCTCGAGATGTGTCCTTGATTCTCGCAACGGAAGCACTGGCCCGCTCGCATCATCCTGGTCTTCTCCGCGTCCGAGAGGCGTCCTCGCATGACTGATAAGTCCATCGTGTTGGGGTCCGGGGTCTTGGTTGGCTCTGCCGTGGGGTTCAGACCGTGGAGTTCATTGTCGATCTGTAGGGCCAGAGTGGCAATGTCGGCTAGTTCCAAGAACTCAGTTCGAGCCATCAGCAACATGAGGCGTATTTGGGATTGCAAGCCTTGTTGGTACTGGCTGATGAGGACGACAGGTTCCCAGTCGGTGTTGTGGGCATGCAGGTTGAACTGGTGGGTGTAGTGAGATACCGACTTGGTCTGCTTGAGCGCTCAGAGGGCTACTTTTAAACATGGCAGTTTTTTCAAAACCAGTCAATTAATTCATGGTGGATTTGCCTATATTTGATACCCCCCTATTGTGAAGAGCTGGAGTATTGGGATTCTGTTAGAAGTGGATGAACAAACTCCCCCAAGGGGAAATAGATTACTAAATCATAAGAGGGTTCATATAAAAGAGAAAGTATTTACTTGGGTTTGAGAGAGAGAAAACCTAAAACAATAATAAAAACTATGTAAAAAACTATACAATGATTTATGTGATATGTGATAAATGATGAATAAAGTTTGACACCTAGAATGACATGTCACAGCACATTGCAATGATAATGAAACAAACGAATGTGCATAAGAAATTTAAAACTTATTTTTCCTTACCTGGGATAAAGTTCCCCGGACACTGAGAGAAAAACAAGGTGTCCCAAAAGGACTTGTTGGAGTGTTCAGCTTACTCTCAAGCACTCTGTGGATGCACTCTCGCGCGCTGCGGACGGTGGACCAGGCTGGAAGCTGGGTGTCACAGATTGTTATCACAGCACGGAATTTGTTGTAAATTTTGCACGAGATTTGTGAGTGGGTGTGTCTTATCAACAAGAACCCGACAAGCTCCTACAACAATTCAACATTTTTATTTTTTTTTCTCTGGTAAGTCCTTTTTTTCATCAATTATCAAGAGAAAGACAAATAAAAACTCACCATTTTGTTTTTAAAAGGGAACCACCACAATTGTTCATCTGGATTGTCTTCAGCACCTTCTTGATTGGCTGGCTTGTCGGACTCAAATACAGTCTTGTCATTGTGACGAAAAAGATCCTCAAGATGCGCGTTGATCAAATTGTCTAGGCCAATTTCTTTGTTGAGGTTCCTGTGGCTCAATGGAGTTGATCCAGGAATGTTTGGCGTCAAGCCCATCACTTGGAGTATCTTGTCAATATTGTTGGTTGTATTTTGTTCTTCATCATCATCACCATTGCTTTCTACAACTTCAACCCATGAATGGGTTGTTCATTTTCCTCTTTGATTTGCTGACAATGTTCCCTTGCCATCTGTCCATCATGCTTGCAAACCCTCTCTCAATGTTGTACTCCCAGCGCGTGCCTCCAATAGCTCAAACACTTGCTCCCCGGACACAAAGTACATTGGTAGACGGTCTTCCCGTCTTAGTGCCTTTCTCGACTTGTGAAAAAATCATGTAGGTGTCTTTAAACGCACAAAACAAAATCAGTGATCTTATTGTAATAGTCAAAATATTCCACTGATGTTCTCCTTTCCTCGCCATGGCAAATTGTTTTTGGCTTTGGGCTTGTCTGTGGAGGTTATTTTTTAGATTGTTGGTTGATTTTTCCAGGCAATTTTGACTCGTGTGGTGTTGCTCATTGACTGTTATCTGTTGCAGCTGACAAGCTCAGGGTGTTGCTCTACTTGGACAAGATCTGGCAATTGTCTTGCTGTGAACAAGTGTTGCTCAACTTGGACAAAAATTGGCAAGGTCTTGCTGTGTGAAAGGGGTCGAGGTGAGTGGTCCTCTGTGAAGTCATGATCATCTCCCACCAGGAATTGATTTACAGTTTCCAATCCGCTCACTCTGTCTCTTTTGTTGACCATCCTCATCTCCACCTTGAATTTCAAGGTTCACAGTTTTGATTCCCTTCTCTCCCAAATCCGTCTTTGATTTATCATGCCACCACAAAGAGACCCTTGTTTCCAACTGCCTTTCAAAAAAAAGCAGTCCCAAAAGTTGAAGGACAAAGCGGTCAACAGCAGTAAGTTTTCTTTTGTTGACCATTCTTTTTTCTTTGAATCGTCTTTGCTCTTAGATAAAGCAGCAAAGAAAAAGTCAATCAACAAAACAGGCCCAAACAGTTGAGTAATTACTTTGTTTCCAATTGCAAGTCAATGACTGATTTTTTTTTCTTCCTTTGGTTTTTCATATGATGATCAAGCCAAGAAATGAACAACCCCACTCAGCAATGTCCAATCTCCTCTTCCACCACCATCCAAGCATCTGAGTGACGTGGTGATGGCAATAAGGATCAAAGTCAAGATGACCAAATCATTGAAGATGAGAACGATCTTGACAAGCAACGTTCCACCATCAACCCCATCATTGATGAGTTGAATGAACAGTTCCATCAAGAGTTTGGCCATTATCAACACAATACACTCTCCAGCATTACAAGGCCAGCTGGGCCACAACCAAGCTTTCATCTGGAGGATCTGAAAAACCTTTGGTGATATACCAAGTTGGACGATCAGCATTTCCTTGATTCTTTCACCATCTTAAATGTGAGTTGTCTCCCTATCTTTTTTCCTTTTTCTTTGTCTTTTCTAACACCTCTTGTTACAAAAAGACTCCTGGCACTGCTATCCCCTTTCCTGTGATGAAGAAATTTGAGCACATCCAAGAAGGTTCTCAAGTGCAGCTGCAGGCACCTAAGGATAAGAGTGCACTGCACTGATGAGATCTCTACTGATGGGTTTGCCTACAGTAATGCACTCAAGTTCAGTTCATCTCTTGCCCTCTTTGTTGGTTATATTCATACTTTCCACTGTCCAATGCATCTTTAGAATCGTGTCTGTAATATTACAAAAGATGCACTCCTTTGACCACACCCTGATCAATACACACAAGGCAAATGGAAGCCTGGAACCAGTGATTCATCATTGTTCACATTTGTCATGGTAAGCCTTTTTTCCTCTTTCTTCAACTTTATCCATTCTGATAGACATTTGTTATCAGCAAGATTTGATGGTGCTTCCTCTTGAGTTCCAAAAAAAACCACTTCCCGGTGGCAAAGGAGAAGGACCGTGAAGTCAAGGAGCAGCTCTTCAAAATGGTCCGCAAAATGCACAGGCGCCTCGGCCATCAGGGCTGTATCATCAACTCAAAAGGCGGTCTCATTGAAGGAGGCCCAGTTCCAATGCTCTGTGATGTTGCTAGGACCATTTTTCAATACCTTCACCCCGCTGAGGCCACCATGACCGACAGTGATGTAGATAAAGCAATTCCAGTCCTTTGGTACGGCCAAATAGGACACCTAAAATTACAAATGGTCAATCTATTGGCTCATTTGCAATTCAAGAAGTTATCACAATGGGCCCTGACTGACAACAAGATCAATGAAGTCAAGGCTTGTGGGATAGACTATTGGGCTGCGTAAGTTATTCCTTTTTTTTGCTTTCTGATAGTCTGTTAACTAACTGCATAATGGAACAGGTTTGGCAAAGCAGTCCTTGCCAAGGATGAGGCCCTTTTTGGGCAAGGCAAAACTTTTGTAAAAATCCTTGAGGATGATGAGGAGAACATTGCAATGCCAAATGAAGATGAAATTCAAGTGCAATTCAACATTCTTATCCGCAACCGCATGGCAAGCTCTACTGGCAACACTTGAGCAGTGTTCTTAGTTAATTTTCTCTATCTCAATGTTTTTTTCATTATCATCTCCATCTCTGTTTGCTTTTTATCACCAGATTTTCTTCTTTTTTTATCACAAGATGCTCTTTTTTTATTACTGGGCTTTCTTTTTTTATCACCAGGTTTTCTTTTTTTGTTGGTTTTATACAGCCAAACCAAGAAAGCTTGCGTCTTGGTTGGCAGAAGATTCAAAAAAAAAAAATCCCGACTGCAGTCGGAATCTTTGGAAGAATACAGCCATTGTACAGGTTCCAACATAGCACCGAGAGGACCACACCGGACCCAACCAGCCAGCTCTACGGGGGCAGGGGCATAGTTGGCTTGCATTCCAAATGGCTAGAGTAACCCCTGTATGCAAATGGGCATACAGGGTGCTGTATTCTTCCAAAAATTCCGACTGCAGTCGGTTTTTTTTTTTTTGTGAATCTTCCACCAACCGAGACGCAAGCTTTCTTGGTTTGGCTGTATTTCTTTTTTGTTGGTTTTCAGTTTTTCTTTTTGAGTTGTAAGTAGTATAACAACATGAATTAACACTAGCAATAATATTACCCCATCTGTGGAATTAACCTAGAAAGTTAAATTACAGTTGATTTACAAAAAAAAAGGAGAAAATAAAGGTTGAAAAGGCTTTTTTATGGATGCAAGTTTGGATGGCATTTTTCCATCCAGACCCGCATCCAGCAGACAGCCTGAAAAGCAAAACCATCCATTGGGCATACGGTCGGATGGAAAAATGATGGCCCGCTGACCATGAATCGGATGGTTTCGCCCTCCCATCCGGGTTCAGCAATATGCAAGTTGCATCCAATGGATTCTCCTTGTAGAGCCAAGGTTGGATGGCATCTGGTACATCCAAGTGGGTGTCCAAATACCATCCACCATGCCTGGTGGTGTAGTCCTTAGAAACAGCTCTCAGAAGCATCATCCACATCCTTTAGTCAGATTTTGGTCCGCCACATCATTCAGAAAGTATTTGAACTCTTTTTGTCTACTACCTTAGCACCTTCTACCGGAGGGCAGCCTTATTCACAGTGCATTTAACAGTCCACGCTCTATCTGATTCACGGGGTGGTGGCTTGTCTCTTCCAAGAAGGTCATACCCAATTCAAGACATGATGTTTGATTTTGGACACAACACTCTAACAAACTGTTGTTTTCAAATGGTTGTGAACAGGGGAATTGTCATCACCTGGGGGTGTCTACCCAACCGTCCCAATTGGTCACAGCACTAGGGGTGCTGCTGTGGCCAAGATGATATTTGATGATCATCAATCAAGCCATCATGAGTTTCTGAGGGCAGAAACCAAAAGAGAGTTCAAACCTAAAATTGAAAAATTGATCCAATTTTGAGAAATCGGTCCAACCTTTCTTCAAAACACAATAGATTAAACTAACAAGTGAAAACAGAAACCAATTGAAGAACAAAATAAGAGCCACCAAGCAATAAGAATGAAAAGAAAAGGTGAAACTTGATACCAACTTGAGTTAATGATAACTGAACAACTAAACTAACCAGAGCAATGAGAGTTGAGAAAACACAACAGACTTGAACACAAACTAAACACCAAAAATGATTTAGTCAACAATGAAACTCATAGAAACAAAATCATAACAAACAATTGAGCTCCTTGATTGCATTTAATCTGCCTCCTCCTGAATTAGTGTAGTTGAATGATTCTGGTCCGCATGATTGAGAATAAGTTTCTTCCTTAGTTATACTTGATCTTCTGTTTGAGTACCTTGATTTCTTCTACCAGTCTTGATCTTGATGGTTCCAAGCCTTGAGATCTTCAATTCTTGACAATGTTGAGTGAAAAACTAAGATCAAATGAGACACCGAGCAAGAGAATGACTACCTCCACCATGATTACATAACCAGCTAACTAACAAACTTGAACTTCCAATTCATCTTTTTTCTCACACGTGCGTACTACATCTACATTGCTAATTACTCTCAACAACAATGGCAAGCCCTTGTTGTTTGTTTGCAATCTTCTCAGACAAATCTTAGTAATCAGCCTGGATTTTTTTTTTTTGATGAAATCATGACTTACTTTAGTTTTTGTACAAACTATTAGGGGGTATCAAATATAGGAAATCCACCATTAGAAACCATTCACTTTCCCCAAGCATTTTTTTGCATCAACGGCCACCAAAAGGGGTTAAATAGGGGGTATCAAATATAACCAAATCCACCATTATTTAATTGACTGGTTTGAAAAAATCCACCCTGTTTTTAACATGTTGGTTATCCATTTAACCCCTTTTGGGGCCCATTTATGCAAAAAAAAGTTTTTGGAAAAGTGACTGGTTTCTGATGGTGGATTTCCTATATTTGATACCCCCTAATGAATAACCTACATGTTTAAAAAAAGGTGGATTTGATTATATTTGATACCCCCCATTGTAGCCTTCCTTGACTTTTCTGCCTTCAGATCTTTAGGTGATTGGCCCTCTATCTGGTGAGCTTGTCACATTTCTTTTCCTTGTCCACAAACCCGTTAATCCAAGATCTGCTCCATGAAGCCCACCTTACGCCACATCACGTGGTTTTGACTTTGACCAGTTGTAGTAATGCTTGATAATGATGGTGGCCAAACTAATGCTCCATGAAGATGATTGAAGTTCAAACATCCAAACCCAGCCATCTGGATATCTTGCTCACATGCTTTCTTGGAACATCAAGTTCAGCGGACAAAAGATTAGGAGCAGGGGTAAAATATTTTAGCAGATACAAGATATTTTGTCCTGATATACTTTTTGAAAGACCGACTTAGCAAGACTCTTGTGATTCTCAGAAAAATCTTTCAAGTGATTTGTCATTTTTCATAATGCACTACAAAAATTGTTGAATCACATTCTGCGGATGCATGGTAACATTGCATGTCACATGTAATGTAGTTTGGCAATTGCAAAATGCAGTTGAATCTTTTGGCACTAAAAATTCAATTGCATTTTGCAAATGCAAGGTGACATTGCATGTGACATGCAATGTTACTGCGCGTTTGCAGAATGTGATTCAAGACTTTTTAGTGATGGCTCTTGGTCCAAAACTTCCAAGCTTCCCATTTGTCTTGATTTTGGGGGTGGTAGCCAATGTGCACTGATGGATTCAGGCATCCCAATCAAAAACCTTTCCCACCTCATCACCACTATCAGGCACCTCATGATCCATCATAATTCTACATTTATATATTTGATAAGTTATGTGAAATTATTCATATGTTGATAATGTCATATTCACTCACACAAACTGTTGTTTGATGGGTTGTACCTTGAAAATACCAAGTAGGTTTCTATGGGATGAGCAAGAAGGGGTGAAGAGGATGAAAAGATTGATAATATGATTCCTTGGGGGGGGGGGGGGTAGGGAGAATTGATACCAGAATAGTTACAATCATCATCACATGTATCAACAGGAAAACAAGATTTACCACCACAAATCCTTCCAATTGTTTGGACTCCTTCCCTTTGCCCAATTGTTTGGAATTGTTATTTCAGGAAACTTATTATTTGAACCAAACAAGGCAAGCATTTCCCAACCATAAATACAGATCACTAACTCCACAAAAGATTTTGATTTTGAGTTTTGATATTGAAGAGTGATAACAATTTTCAATGAGCTATTCACATGATCGATTATTTAAATTTTATATTGTGAATCTATGTTTTACATAATATTTGAAATCGTTCAAAAATCATCCATAAACAAAAACAAATTAAAAAGCATACCACATTCCCCAGGCTTACAGCAGAGATATTTACCCTTCTTGCTTTCCAAAACCGCAATATGCCCCACAACCCTTAAATGATGAATCACAACTTCCCTGCCAAGCTTGTTTGCATATAATATTTTGTATTCAACTGCAGATGATCTGAGTATGGATTCTTTTGTTCATCCCAGCGATTTAATATTTCAAGGTGTCAAATCAAACCAAACTATATTTGTCACACCATCTTTAAAAATCCGACTACTTCATCCATACAATTGTAATCCTGAATCATAAATGTTGATACTTGAGTTACCATGAGGATCACAGTGGAAATTCCTTGCTGGAACATATTTTTGATTGAAAATTTCCACACTCTTCACCCTTAGCACTGCTTTTTCAATGCCTTCATCAGCCAGTTCATACCCAAGCTCCTTAAATGAGGCTTTCACTGATTATAAGCCCTCAATTCAAGTGTTATCTTCTCTCCCTTCTTTGGCATCACAATTTGAGGTGTATTGACAGATGCTCCTTCACCCATCAATCCCCATTGGTTTAATTTTGTGTGATTGATATATGCATAGTATTGTGATTTCTGATTCCATGAATTCATGATGGCTCCATGCATCTCTCCTGAATATAATGTGAATCAGACTTATGATGAAATAGTGGAATCATCAGGAAGGCTCAGGAATAAAACATGCCAAGATGTTGCTTGTTTGGTATGTTCCCCAGCATTCCATTCAGACACTCCTGGGTCCATGCAGCTGTGGCTATTGGAGGACCTGACCTCTCAATTGTCCCGGGATAATACTGTGTGAGATGCAAGTTTGCTTTGCTTGTATGGTTTGGCCATCATTTGGAGGACTTGTTAAAGTTCTCAAGTTGATCATATCTCTTTATTGCAGGTGGTGCTTCATGAGAATACTTGTTAACTCAATTTGATTGTGGAATCCTTCAAAATTTCCTGATGTGTCATTGTACTTCAATCTTCAATACATTTCTTCTGCCAAGTATCTGCAAGCACCCAATATGGAATAATTGCCAGCGGAAATAGACTGTATATAGTATCAACTACTCAGAGGCATTCAGAGAAGGAGGTCAATGATCTCTTGGTTGTAGATCTCGATGAAGCTTCCCAATAGCTTGACCATCTCCTGGTTGTTCTTCTGAGAAAGGGATGCCATGTTGACAAACAAGTGTTCCAGAGTCTTTGGGATTGAGCCATTGCTGTTGGTAGGGTTATTGTTGGAGCCTAGAGTGAAAAATTTGTCCAAACTTGTCTGGCCATACGCAATCAGACTTAAGTTGAAGCGGTTCTCGGGAAGGGCACCAGCAGCAAGCTTGTGATTTCAAACATTGCTCATACACCTTGATCTCCTTCACATTTGATGGGGGTAGATCACCTTGTCTGCTTTTAATTTGTACAGCTTCAATTGCTGGTTTGTGTTGATCATAGAGAAGGGTATGGGATGAGATAGATTGATGATGGTGATGAGAAGAGTTGCTTGGGCTCAGGAAATTGGGCAGTTTACATAGTGTGCAAGGAATGGGCTCTTCTTGTTGACCAGCAGAGGTGTTGCACTTGCGCTGCTGGAGTTGAAGTTGGTTGGTGATTATGTCCAGTTGTCCTTGGAGTCGCCTCTCAAACCCGGCAAATCCTTAGTCATGTTGCCTCTCAAACCTGGCCAATCATTCATCCTGTTGCCTCTCAGATCCTGGTGAATCATTCATCCTGTCCCCTCCTTTGCTTTCACAGTTGCAGGGGCTCTTTGGATAAAAAGGTGAGGGAGGATGAACAAGGAAAGTTTGATGAGAAAAAAAGGAAAAGAAACAAAAACACACCTTGGGTGGCTAGCAATTGGTTAGAAGTCCTCATGACTTCCAAGTGGTTTCTAGCTGCGGTTGCACTTTGGAGGATGTTGGTTGATTGGGCTGGGAAGGGACAAAATGATATGAGGGGGATGTATGTGTCATAGGTGAGACATTAAAGGGCTGACAGACCTTGGTGAGCTAGAATTTGGTGCACCTGGATCAGTTGCTGGGACCAGGAGGTGAGGGTTGGGGGGTTTGGTGTTTCCGGCAGTGGCTCAGGAGCCTGCCTTGGATAGAACTGGGCCATGGTATTTATTTTTTAGGTAATAGGTTTGTGTGTGATATTGTTGGCTCAAAAGGAGGGGATCATGTTTGTCTGTCTTGGGTCAACATTGAATCCCTGCTTAAATATGTATGACTCATTCACCTCCTCCTCCACTGCCAGCTTGGAGGCTTGGTTTCAGAATGGCCCTGCTGTAGGACTACTAAACGCTCCCCATCAGACCTCCAAGGAGCTTGGATACCGTCAACATCCCAATTTTCTTTGCTTTCTCTTGTTTTCTTTTTTTTTTTTTGATGATGATGAAATTGATAAGAAGACGTTTGGAGATCAGTTGAGTGAGAGTTTGCAAAAGTGATCTTGACACTGCCATAATAGGTACTGGACGGCAATGCTGAAAATGAGCGAGATGATAAGGAGCCATGTAGGAAGCAGCAAGAGAAAGCTCCAGGACAGATCAATGACAGCCATGCAGCCTGTTGTCTTGGACGGCAACCAGCTGTGCAGGCATGATGATGATGGCCAGACATGCCAGCCAAAGAGAGATCAAGAAGCATGAGTGGAGCAAGATCAAAGCTCTCAAGGCCATTGTCTCCAAAGGCTCTCCATTAGATTCAACCTCTCTGTTAAAGTTACACACCAATCAGTGTGGCAGAGAGGCTTGAGCCCAAAGGTAAATTGCCCTCCTGTCCTAAACTAATGTACACCGCAGTTTCAAGCACTGCCTCAGCTAACTGCTTGGACATGCCTGTCCAACAAGTCATTGGACTGGCCTGCCCAAGCAGTTCTTGTCCAACAAGTCATCAAGCTGGCTTGTCTGAGCTGTTGACGGGCAGAACAATCTCCTCAGACAAGCAAGTCTGGCCTCTTGTCAGACAACCATGTCCAAGAACTGCTGAGACAGGCTGGTCCAAGGATTTGTGGGGCTGGCCCATCCAACCAGATAGTTTACGCAGTGAGGGCACTGGCAATAAGAGCTGGGAACCTGTAGGTCAAATTTCCAGACTTCAAGCCACTGTTGACCCTTAAGGAACAGGCCTAATGAGGGTATAAGCTGTCAACATGCCAACAGGCTTGCCAACACATTCCTTTTTGATGGAAAAACGGCCAGCAAAACTTTTTCATGCTGACTGACCAGTTATTACGCCATCAAACCCAAGCTCAGTAGAAAAGAGGTCATGACCATTGATGTTTGGAGAGCAGTTAAACAAATTGAGGATATATGTGATCCAGGCAGAGAAAGGTAGAGGATGTGAGTCAGAAGATGACAAAAGTGATCTTGATGCTGTCGATAATCCTAACAGCAATGCCAACAATGAGTGCAATGATGAGGAGCTGTGTAGAAAGCAGAAAGAGAAAGCTCCAGACACCGGCTGCAGAACAAATCAATGGTGAGGGGTCATCTTGGAGGGTGACCAGTTGTGCGGCCAGCAGTGGTGATGGCCAAAGAGAGATCAAGAAGCCAATGGTGATGATGAAAGATGAGCTGAGCAAGATCAAGGCACTTGTTGTATGCCCCTGCGCACTGGGTTGCAAACAATGTCAATGACAGCTCTGGAGTCCCTCTGTCCCACAGTACTCTATCTCTTCAAACAAGTCCATAAACCCTTCAGTGGGAAGGATTTTTTGAATTTAAGATACCCCTCTTGTTTCCCCCCATTACTTCATTCTCTGTGTTGCTGGTCTTCTACTGGTGTTTTCTTCTGCTTTTGAATCTGGGAACTTCAATCCTCCAAATATTTTTTTTTCCCATCATCAGTTTTCTTCCAGTTTATTTTGTGTTTGATCCTCTTCTTCAAGAGTTTTCCTGCTCCCATAATATTCAAAAAACTGGTGCTATGATCTTTGAGGTCTTCCAAGAGCAAAGTCTGCATAAATTTGATTCCACAATATTCCACTGGCCCCCAGTAAGGAAGACTGTTTAGACTGCTGCTACCTTTTGCTCCTTCTTCTGTTGCAATCTTACTTCTTTCAGAGTATGTCTTGCATTTCTCACATTATTGTTTGATTTATGGCTCCTTTGAACCAGGTATTACAGCAGATAAGTAGATATTCTCACCTTTGTATTACTCAGCTGAAAGTAGGTTGAGACATGCAAGAGCCACCACTCCCAAAGATATGGTCTTTCTGTAAGGATGGAGATTGTCCTTCACTTAATCCTGATCTTCTGGGGTGCAGACAAAAGGTTTCTGGGGTTAGAGTGTCAAATTTCAAAGCAAACTAGATGGTTGAGAGATGACTTTATTAATTGTGATAAGGAAGACTAGAATGAAACTGAAAAGGAAAAAAGACTCACCTAGACAGTTGAGAGATGAAATCTGCAGTCTAGGGAGGACCTGACAAGCCTAGACTAAGTACCGGCTAGAATGGGTTTATGTAATCTGTGACACCTTTGATGTGAAGCCCAGCAAGGGGTTTTTGCACTTTCCTTTGGTCTTCTTAGTGAATGGATTGAACAAGTCAATGTAGAGACTGAATACTCTGGAGTTTGAATTCAAAATATTGCTTCAGTCTGAAGGTCCCACAACATTTTTCCATTCTCCCAGTACTGGACACAAAAAGAAAATGCCAAGCAACTTCTAGAAGCTCCAATCAAACTTCAATGCAAGCTGAGGTCCTTGTGCTGATGTAACTTGGTGGTACAGCCCTAAGACTTCAAAGAGGTGGGTGGACCAGATCAAGGTACAACAAAAGTTTGAGTTCAACTCAAATTCAGTGCAGGGTATGGTCTGAGCTCTTGTCTCTTGTGTTCCTGTATTTTCTATGAATTAAGAAATTTACCTATGCATAATACATGGTACTGTAACTACATGATTCCTCAACCAATAATTCCATTATAAATCTATGGACTGAACAATAAAGTTAGGTATTATGATGATTGTATTTCTTTGTTATTTTACACATTTCACATTTGGCATTTCCAAGACCAAGCCCAGCAGTCTTAATCCTCAGTCAACCACCCTGATCCAGTAGAGGTTGACTTCTTTAGATAAACACAGCCTCCATTTTCATAACGATTTTCCCCTATCAGATAGTCATACGCTAAGCCTGCCAGGCTTATCAATTTTGGCTGAGACATATCCAAGCTCTCCTCAAATGAAATATGTTGCATTTAATTTGCTATATCTTCCTCATCACATTCATCACCTACCACACTAAAAACCAGTCCGGCTAACACAAAGTGTCTTGCTTGTAATTTGGGGTGGGCCAGCAGGAGACATTTCAAGAATCAATTTTTTCTATCAAATAAGATCTATGGAAAATTCAAGCCAGCACAGATCTTGTTTAATTCCCACCCATGGAAAAAGTGCTTTTCACAGGGCAGAAATGACTGCATTTTTGATTTTTTTCCATGGTTTCCAGTCAGATTACACTTAGATCATAGTAAACAAGTGGAAGAGGCACTGCAAATTGATTGCCCTTGAAAAACTTAAAAAGATAGAAGAAGGTTTCGGTCACACCACAGATTACTTGGCTAACCAATGGATCCAACGAAAAGAATGTCAGCTTTTGGCAATGGAGCCTGAGTCTGAAAGAGATATGATGAAACAAGTTGAAGAACTTGTTGAGATGGAGGACCAACTTTTGGATACACAGTGATTTGTTTCCTTAGAATCAGCACACTTAGCCATTAACATTACTTTTGAGACAGATGCAGAGACAAAGGCTTCTAATCAAGTTGAAAGTGAGCCAATCCATGCTCTACAATGCCAAAGTACAATAACTGGATTAACAAAATAAATACTCATTTTGATAATGGGAGTCTTCCATACCAAGGGCTTTATGGTAAAGAAAGATCAGCAATTCAGCTTCAAGATATCTCTCAACAGATCAAACAGAAAGCCAACACAAATCAATGTCTGCCAAAAGCATGTAAAACAAGTATCTCAAACCCTGCCCCCTACATACCACAATCCTGAAACCTGATGACAAAAACTGTCATGTCTCTAACGACTAAAGATTGAAAAATGATCCAATAACTACCACATACACAAAACAACTGTACTGAACACACCAAATAATGATCAGACCCCAGTATGATTATGAAGCTATCACATGGAAGCTCTACAAAGACTAATCATATCTCACCTGAGTAATTGCTATGTGTGAGCTGAGATACAGTCAAAAGAGCACCAAGAAACACCAAATCTATTAACAAAATCAAATCAGATCAAGGATCAGTAATTGATCTGCCCCTCACAGCTTCGAAACAAAGTATCAGAAGAGCACACACCACACATCCAAAGATGAGAGACCAAATACAAACTCTGATCTTCAAAAACATGTCATACCGTTGACCAGCTAAAAGATAAGGGCTAGAAAACACTGCTATAAATCAAAAAAGCAAACGATTCAGCCCCCATCTATCAGCAAAACCAGACACAATAGGCTACATCAGCTCTACACCTTGAAGTCCTGACTCTAAAAATCAAAGTCACAAGCTTGCAGAAAACCAAAGTAAGCTGCCTACATAACCAGGTCACACACCAAAAGTTATCTAACATACAAACTCATTGACCATTCTGTAGGAGCACCACTTGCTATCAACCAAGACTACTTACACCTAATAAGTACTCCAGTGATTATCATGTCCAACAGTAAGTTATCTATCTTAACATAACAAAGAAACTCAGTAGGTCCCATCTAAATCTACTATCTCATATTCAAAAATCCAGTGTCCATCCCCAACACTCCTAGCAGGAGGAAGGGAACCTGCAACAAGACCCCCATCAGAATAGAGGGGCCTTCTGTGATGTCCACTGAAATCAAAAGACCAACCTACTAAAAGAATCATGTCGGTGTTAGGTAAAGATCCAGACTCCAACATGCAAGTTGCAAACCTGGAGAACCTACCCTTCTACATGGAAGATGTCAATATCAAACCGGTCATCCCACTGCCAACTAGCATCGGCGACTCTTGGGAAAAGATCAGAGCCCAGTTGCTCCGACGCTCCACTTCTCACATGCAATTCCGAGCAATGTGGGATGGATTCAGTCACAATGATTGGTGCAAACTCAAAAGTCAGAAGGAACTCAACGTCATGATCATCCTGATCCAAGCACTAGGAGAAGGGAAATCAGCCGTCAATAAACCTGATATCTCGCTCCACTCTGCTCTCAAAGAACTTTGACTCACCCCCTATAAGCTCCTCCAACTAGCCAAAGACCGTGTTGACTGGCCAAACAAATACGTGATTCAACTATCCCCAACTGATGCACTCCAGCTCCCAAGCTTTGAAAACCGCTTGCAAGGTGTCTTCTACGGCACAGAAGGCAGGAAGTCAGCGTACGTTTGGAATCTAATGCCGGTCTTCAAAGCTGAAGAACTCCACCTTGTTGGACGCTTCCTCAAGCTCAAAGCCCACTTACCTGCCTGTGGTCCGATCAACCCCCAAGACAATAGTGAGGAGAACCTCACTAAATATGCCTTGAAAATTGACCAGGGCTACAGGAGCAACCCTTGTTGGACTGAAATCAACTGTATGCCAATCAAACACAACAGAGAAAAGTTTAACAGTATCCCGACCTATAACGGTGACCTTACCTTTTTTTATCACGTCTATTCCAACCAGGGAAGTGCCAATGAAGCTCTGGAAGAGCCCCAACAACAACCACTTACAAGGTATGGTCTGTGGCCATCCTGTCCAACTCAAACTCCTCTCAGCCTGCCAAACTTGCGGCTCTGAGGATCACAACGTTGCCCACTGCCTCTACACCGACCATCTCTTGGGTGCACCTGCCATACCGGAGAGTCGGACAACGAGATTATGGAAATCAGTAACATTCCTGAACCAATCTCCAAGAAGAAAAAAGAAAGCCTATAAACCGGCATCTGAAGTATCCACCATCAAACAACGTGGTAATGGTTGTCCAGTTGCCTCTTCCTCCCTTGAGTAATCACTCCTCTTAACAAACTCATAAACTAAAGTTCTAACCATCCTAATGCTCATACACTAGCTGGTGGAAAAGCACCGGCTCACCGTGGAGGTAAGATATGAGTCACTGATCCAACATACCTGGAACAGGTGATGATCCTACATTTCACCTAACTGCTGTTGTACAAGGAGTCGTACCATATTTGCTACACAAATATATCAAACAAAAACAATATATTAGCATTCTTCTTCTGAGCTCTCTCTATCTTCCTCTTCTGAATATCATCTTGTAACAACATTGGATCAAGGCTGAACAATATCAATACTCACTTATTGAATCAATCTCCATGTGATCCACTTCCAAATAATCCTCTTTCAAACGTGAGCCTATAAATAAAAAGTTGATAAAAAGTTGATACTAGGATAGGAAAAGGACCAGTATGACCCAGCCGGTGACAAAGAGGTGACGGTTGGCCTGGATGTAAAGGTTGATCTGGTTCAAGAAAGCCTCTGCTTTAGCTCCTCAAGAGCCATCTAACTTGTTGGGGGCACCAATCTTGGGGCCCCTTGGCAGCGTACTTTATACCATCAAGGGGCAGCCTTATTCTTCTGGGATTTGGTCAGCTGGGCCTCCTTCTTGGCCAATTCCTCCTCTGTCTCTTTCCGGAGCTTTCACTTTTCCATGATCACAGCCATGAGTTTGGCTATCTGCTTCTGGAGCTTGGAGAATTTGGTTGGGTCTACATCCATCGTAAAGCAGTACGGGGTGGCAGGTAATGCTTTGACGGTGCGTAGTGACTTCAGAGGGTGCAAATAAGATTGTGGAAGCTTACTTTTGTACTTTCACACCTTTCCAAACGGCTTGTGTAGGCTCTTCTGGGGGTCTGGGGTCTTTCAGGGTGTCTATGGGAGGGCCAGGGGTCTTAGACTGTTCTTGTGGGCTTTGGGGGCTCTATCAGGGTAGGTGGGGCACATTGGAGCATTGCAGGGATGCTCTGGGGCGCCTCGCGGCATCTGAGGGGGTTCTGGGGGTCTCTGGGACCGTTAGGGGTTGTCTGACAATGATCCAACAATCTTGATTGGTCCTGGGGGCCTCGGGGTTGTGTCCAAGGGGTCCTGGGTGCAATCAGAGGTTTTCGGGGTGTCCAGAGGGGCCTGGGGGGTTGTCTGACAGCAATCTGGCGGTTCCAGGAGGTCTAGGGGGATTCCATGTTGTTTCCAAGGGTTGCTGGGCGCAATCCAAGGTTCCCAAGCAATTCCAAGGGTCTAGGGGGGTCATCCAATGACAATCCAACAATTTGGCAGCTAATACCTGAGCAATCCGGCAAAACAAATGAAGAAGGGAAACAGAGGGCTCCTGGGGGTCCCATGGGTACTGTGACAGGGAGAGAGGTGTAGAGGGGTGAGTAACAGGGTTTCTAAACAAGTTTTGAGGGAGAGATTTTCAAGGTTTGAGAGGAGTCTTTCTGAGGTTGATTTTTGAAGTTTCAGAGGTGAAGATTTGGGTGCTTCTGTCCTGCTCTCCGTATAGGTTGATCTTGCAATGTGTTTGGAATGTTCTGGGGAGAGCAGGGTAGATCTTTTAGGTTCTGGTTTCAAAGTTTCTTTGAGAATGTCAAAGGACTCATTTTCTCCTAATAATAAACTAGGGTTACAAGCATGCAAGCCAGGTTTGACGGTGCGTAAACCTGCACACAGGGTTGAGATGGTTTGAAACCAGGTCTATCCATGCAAAACCAGAGGTTACACACTTTAAACCAGGGTTTGACACATTGGGGCAGACAGATGAAAAGAGGTGTGAAGATTTGAACGAAACACATTTATGAAGATAGGCTATGCACAAGGGTGGAAGGAGTGAGGGAATTGAAAAATAACCATGCAGAACAAGCACTGACAAGCTTTGCATTGATTTGAACTGAACAACCAGTTTTAGTGAGTTTTCTAGAGGGTTCACTGGAAGCCATGGTTTGATGTTGAAATGTATTAGCCTTCCACAACATCTCAACAATTCCATCATTCCCATTTGGATCTACTAAGTATTTTAAACTAGGAAATAAAAATTCACCACCAGTTACATCATACTTGTCCTCTAGAGTTGCCAATCTACCATCTTCAGAGAGTGTTGGCGCAGAAAGGAAATCAGCAAAAGGGCTACTATCATTATCAAGGTGGGATTTGTTGCAGAATTTGGAATGCGTCCAGGTAATATTTGAGCCCAGGGTGGTTTCTTTATCTTGATGTTTAGGTGTGGTGAGTGATTTCCACAAAAATCCGGGGACTGAAGTCTGCTTGGCGTGTTGATCATTTGCCTCCAGGCAACTGTGTGCAAAAATTTCAACTCTCTTTTGAATGAGGTGATCCACGATCTGCATGTTTTTTATTCCTTCTTGCTCCAATTTTTCACCTTCTGGAGTTTTGAGCGGATTCACATAAGGACCTACAAAACATGCATGCATCATCAGTACGGTGTATGATGAACCTCAGGACGAAGAAAAAGAAATGGAAAAGAAGACCCACCAGTCCCTGTCAACAAGGACCTAAAGCCGTGCACATACATCTTTCCTTTGACTAGGGCTCCATTCGTCTTGAATGGATAACGCACTTTCTCTATAGATTGGAAGGTTTTTGTGACAAATTCAAGGTCTTGTTGTGTTTGAGAATCCATGTCCTGGAAACGTGTAAACAAACATATGGCAATGACTTCCTTCTGGTTTCCGTGAGTCAAGATAAAACTTCCCTGATATAGGGAAAAGGCATTCTTGAAGTTGGGTGACCTGAAGAACACATCCGGGACGTAACCAACGACATCTTTGTCCTCCTTGGCATGGCCACAAGCAATGTTACGTAGATTTAACATTTGGGCAACCTGAAACCGGGCTTTTTCCTGAGAGGACATGCCCTTTGTGAATGGGACTTTGGTAATATTGTCTTGCTTGTTTTTGACTTTACTAGGGGCCCACGTGCCAGCACACCATTGCTTAACTGATTGTGTTGGGTTGGGTTCCCTTCGGTTGATAGCGTCCTTGACCAGTTGAGCCTTGGCCACTGCAATTTCCTTACGCTCCCCTTCCCAGGCTGGATGGCCTTTGCTTTTTTGTCCAGGCCAGCACTGTAAAAAAATATTTCTGAAGTGCTGTCAGTTGACATGCGGTGTTCTTGAGTTCAATCTCAACTTAAACATGGCTGATTCAACCAAGAACACTGGTGGCACACCCTGAGGTCTGTGCATACACAGCCCCTTTTAGAACCTTTCTTTGGCTCAGACAATGCATTATTGCATTAGCACAACCGAATGTGCTGGCCATGAAAGGGCTTATTGTATGTACATACATTGGGGCACTCAATGAAACGGTGCCACCCTGCCTGACACAGCTGCAGTGTACCTCACCTGGCACCCCCTTGTACATGGCAGGTGCAATATGTGAAATCGGGTTAGCCTATCTGCACCAGAAACCAGCCTCGATGAATGGCAACAAGCCATTCCAGTTGAAAATATGCAGGCCATCCTGGTGGCATCTGGTGGGTCAATGTGATAAAGCAATGCTCAGCACACAGTTGGTGTGCCTTAGGCCCAAAAACCATCTAACAATCAGCATAGAGACACCCCCATACTCCCATCGCCATGGGGTGACACAAAGTTGAGTGTACCTGGTCTGAATACTTGCTCACCAAAAGGAATCACTCCCTCAATTAACAAGCATACCATAAATTGCACCTCAATTAAATGCACAACCTGAGTGGGTGAAAAGAAGGTTTTACCGCTTAGATTGAGAGAATGACTTCAACAGACGTTGAATACTACCAACAAACATATTTTTTTTGCAACAAACATATTTTTTTTGAACAAGTTTTTTTTATGCTTGAAAATCAGGCCACTGTGGAGGTCACGACTAGTGTTGGCGGTGGTTTTGTTGATTTGGAGGGACATTGCCATTCAAGTGTACCCTGGTGTTTTGACAGTAGGAAATGTGCAGTGTTTGTATTGGTTGGCAGCCCAGATCATCTTCACAATACCTCTTTGCTTGAAATCGATACAAAAACGATAATCTGGGAATACAAACCGGCCGCCAGAGACATCATGATTGTCAGAGGAGCTGACTAGAGTTCCATCGGCAGTTTTTGTGGGAACAAAAAGTGCAAAGGCGAATTTGGAAATATCAGCTTTGTCCGTGTGAGGATCTTTGTAAAAGCTGTTTGTAGTGAAGGTGATGTGTGGAGAGCAGTAGAATTCAGAGAGTTTTTCGGTGGATTCAGAAGTTTGGAGTTTGTGACATGTACGTAACAGACTATGTACATATGTAACATCCTCAGGTCCAGGTTCCAATAGCTCATAGCAGGTTCCAGTTTATCTAGCTGTAAAAGAGTTTGCCTTGGATCCAATATGAAGCAACATAAGCAAAGCAGACACAAAGCCACCCTTCCCTTTGCTATGACTACTATAGACAATAATCTTGTAGATCAATCTCAAGAGCCAATCATCACCCCTGAATTAGCCACAGAAACCCTAAATTCAAAACCTCTCAAGCCACAAAACCCTAGTGTTGCAGTCTCATCACCAGCCAATGCAGCCGGAACACAAGAGGAAAAGACACACTTTTTGTTCCATCCCAAAATACAGGCGAATTGATCCAAAGCCAACATCTGAAATCATAAAACCTGAAAAACTGGCTAAACATTACCACAAAGTCTTGTATGGGATATCATTGCTCCAAAAGAGCAAGAAGCATTCTTTAAGGTCAAATTTGTGTGTTCTTCCTTGATGACACCTTCCAAGATCAAGGGGTGGGAGAAACTTGTAGTCTTCTTCTTTGATAGTATGAACTATGTCATAAAGGTTAAAAATGATAGACCTCTTATAGGAGGGCATATGTGGACTGATGGGTGGAGAAAGTGTCCTAAGAAAGACAAGGCGCTTGGCAAGTATTGCTCAGCAGGAAGGCTTGCACAAATATCAATACTAGCAAATTACAGCCAAGACAATGAGGCAGCTGCCATTCAGGAAGCAAACAGCTGGATAGCCTCTCAGCTACAAAACATTGCTCCTGGAGTCTTTCAAGTGTATCATCAAGTGAGTTCTTATCAACAAAAACCTACCATTGAAGGCCCACATGGAATATCCAACAACATGCAACACCTTCACAATGAATAATTTTTTTGACAGACCACACAATGATGGAGATGTTAATTGATGGAATCTTGTATGTTGGATCCCAATCCTAAACCCAAATAATTGTCAAGAGGAAGACGGCATTTTGGCAGACAAACACCTGGATGTGATTGGAGGCAAATTCACCTTCCAGGACTTCCAAGTGTACTTGTTATATTTAAATGAGGTAATTGGGGCTACTCTGTGTATTCAGATCTACCAAACATAGGCATCAAACTTTGCCAGGTCAATCTGTTTCCAATAAGTATACCCACCTAGGTTTCTCTTGCCAAATATCTGAAAAGATGACTCTGGCAATAATTTCCTATTTGACTGGTAAAAATCAGGGAAGCCTGTAGCTGGACAGCAGGTTCAAGTACAAAATGCTGAACAAAAGTTGGCTGCAAAACAATAGTACATGTTATCTTTGTTGTCTTCTGTGGTCTTTGATGAGCAATCCATGTGAATTGATAAAATTCATATGCAGGACTAAGATTTTGTGCACAATGCAGCTTGAAATGAGTATGACTTAAAACCTCTGGGCCAATTTTGAAATGGTTTGGATCTGTGAATCACATCACACCAATGTGGTATTTAGTGTGATGATGGGATGGAAGTAGGGAAATGTAGACTGACATTTTTGAGTGGTTCTGGAATCATCTCAGCTCCAATGATTTCCAACTGCTGCATGATGAAAATCATGTCATTTATGCCTGACTCGTATTTGATGCTTGAGCAGCAACTTGATGAACCAGTAAAAAATAGTAGGAACAAAAATTCCAAAGGGAAATAATTTCAATAGGGGGTATCAAATATTGGAAACCAGTCAATTTTCCCCAAACTTTTTTTTGCGTCAATGGGCCCCCAATGGGGTTAGATTGATAACTAGCGTGTTTAAAAAAGGGTGAATTTTTTCAAACCAGTCAATTGAATAATGGTGGATTTAGTTATTGATATCAAGTATCAAAGAAACAATCTCAAGGGTTAAGATATATTAAGTTCAGAATATATATTTTTTGCTGAACATACATAGGTATTCATGCAATTCTGGTAAGAGAGCTGTTTGTTTATTTTTTATTGGATTATATTTACTAAGCTTACTGCTACTTGTATAAATTTCTGGTCAGAAAATAGGTATGCTAAGCCAATTACTAGAAGCTTGAATCTCTTTGTAAGCCCTGCTCCTCACAGGCTTACACAAACATGTCACAAGATTACATAAGCTCATTTCTGCATTGTATTTAGTCTCATCTTCCCGTAGAGTTCTTCCTCCTACCGATGCTAGGTACATATTTTAATCTCTTCTTCCTTCATTCTTCTCTTCCCTCTCCTCACCATTCTAGTTGTACTTACGAGAGTTCTTCCTCCTACCGATGCTAGTAATTCATCCAACCGTGGTACTAGAAGTTCTCTCCAAGGCGTAAGGCCTTGTTCCAACCAATTTATAAGAGCATTAGTGCAGAGCATTCACAGCTCTTACACTCTTGCTTCAAATGATTTAAAAACTTTGTAACATATTGTCTGGTGTATGTTGTGTGTATGTATTGGGAAGTATGGGAGCACTAGTGGATCTCGGGGATCAGAAAATTCTGTTTGTCTTTTGTAAAGCAGTTGAGAGGCCGGACACATCTGGCTCTCAGATGAGCAGTCTCCTGCACCTGGCCCCCTGTCAATATCTTGATCCAGACATTTATGTGAGAGCACCAGTTTCAGACATTAGGCACATAAACACCCTTTTGGTTTTTTCTTACGGTTTTTCATCCTGTTATCAACAGCCAGGCTACATAAGAGCCCATCAATTTTAAATTCAGCCTTTAAAGATACAAACAAACTAAAAGCCATACCGTGAGAGCGTTAATGCCCCAGGCTGAGGACCATAAAAGGTGCCTTGCCACAAACTGTTTTGTTCCAGCTAAATCTTTTCACCTATTTTTCTCACCCAATCTAAGGACTCTCAGAAAACCCTACTGATATGCCTCTGTACCTCAAGATTGACCTTGTAGATGACCTAAATACAAACATTTGTACTACGGTGAAGACCAATGGTAAGAATTTAACACCTATAACAGTTTATATTTACTTACAGTATTTATTTTCAGGTGCACCAAACACTGGCCCAAAAAAAGAAAACTTGGAGACTCCAAGTTAGTTATCCAGCCAGGCCACCATCACCCCCAAAGCAGTGCATAGTGAATTTGATTCTCCTTGTCAATTGCCATTTGGTGAAAACCTGGTGAGAACCAAATCTATATTCAGAACTTGTGCCCCCTTCAAATTGATATTTTGGCCAAAGAAAGAAAATCACCCCCTACATCTCAAAAGAAAAGGACCTGGTGAGTAGATTTTTTAATTTACTTCTTCTTATCATTTTAACTAATTACCTCTCTATTTTCATACCAGCAAAGTTCGACTGAAAGTGTTTTGGATGGTTCTACAAATCTTAACCACAGGGCAACAAGCTAGAACCCTTCTTCCTTGTATCTTCCTTCTGTATATTCCTTCTCATTTCATTGTTATCTTCTTTTGTCTTGAGATCAACAATATGGGGTCTAGTTGGTACAAAGGTCCCAAATGTGAATAAATCCCCCCTACTCCAGCTAGTAATTTTGTTGGTTATCAATTCCAATGGTTCTGTAGCCTTAGAGCAGGAGCGTGTGAGGACACAGTTGTTCAGTGGGAGAACCAGCTGGCAACAGCCAATTTGGAAAATTGGCTGGTTTAGACAACCACTCTGATCCGCTGAACAGGGACAAGGGAGGGTGGAAAAAGTAGTAACAGGCTGCTGGACAGGGTATTTGACAGGAAACCACTGATTGGTTGATTGATTGACCTGTAGGCTAAAAACTTCAGGTGAATATGTCAAAAGGTGTGCATTGGTTGTCCAATTCTACACATGAAAATCAAACGCATAAGGTTTTGCTTTGTTTACTTGGGAATACAAATTTTTGCTCAATAGAAATGAAGGATTAATGGTTTCAGGATGCAAGAGAAGAAAAACAGACAGATTATTCTATGCCTAGCAGATAAGACTGAGAGTTCAATTCCCTGTCAAACAAAAAAATATGACTCAAACAAGGATGAAA